ATAGTGAGAGGATTTTTCCGGGTCAGAGTTCATAGGTTTTGTCTGGGAGAAAAGAAGAAAAACAGCAAGGTGGAACTAAGCAGTCATGTAGAAATGGTGCTGGATATAAGAAGCTAGTTGTATTGTAAGGGGTAAGAATAGGATAGAAACCTCTTTCTGGCCATAAGAAGGCCTCTCTGGGATGCCCAGCCTCAACAAAGGAGTGGACTTATTCATTAGTGATGTCTACCACGAAAACAGGAGGGGCAACAGTGCTTAGCACAAAATAAATACCACACTTAAAAAAAAAAAAAAAAATCCTGAAGCTGGGCTCAGTTGCTCAGTCTGTAATCCCATGCCTTGGGAGGCTGAGGTGAGTGGATTGCCTGAGTCCGCAGGTTCGAGACCCACCTGGGCAACTTGGTGAGACCTCATCTCTACAATAAATAAAAAAAAAATTAACCGGGCATAGTAGCGCGTGCCTGTAGTTCCAGCTACTTGGAAGGCTGAGGCCGGGAGCGGCCACTGCAATCCAGTCTGGGTGACAGATTGAGACTCCAACTCAAAAAAAAAAAATCCTGAAACTAAGGGACAGCATTGTGTTCATGGATTTAATTTCCCTATTTAGTTCACATCCATAAAGAGACAAGCACTATACTTGGCACAGAGTAGCCACTAAATGGTCACTGAGTGAAGGAATAATGAATACCCTTCCACAGATTGTCTTTTTAAAAATTCTTGATCTAAATCTGTGAAGTTATTGGGATAGGAACTGTTATCCTAATTTCCTTTTAATTTTGATAAAAATTAGACCCTAACTCATCTCCAGAAAACTTGGACTCTAAATCTTTTAGATTCTAAAAGGTTAAGGTCCTTTTTCAAGATGGATTTCAGAACTCTGCCTGGCACTCAAGAGTTCTGGAGATAAAGTCCTTTCCCACCCAGTCTCCTTCCCCCATAAAATGCAGATTTCCCTCACACACTATTGGTAGATACATCCTGAATATCATCTTCATGTTAAAAAAGCCTAAAAAGTACAATCAATGCATTATTCCAGTCAAAAGTTCAGTCTTTATTCCTACACAGATGTTTTGTCTTGAATTTCTGCATTCTTTTCAATAAAAGCCTCAAGTTATGGAGAGGGGGAGGAGGGAAAGCTGCATGTTATGGGAGGAGGGAGCAAGAAAAGGGATTTATCTCCAGAAATCTTGGGGTTCCAATCTAAACTCTAAAATCCATCTTGGGCAAGGGCTTTCACCTTTTAAAGTCTAAAAGGTTTAGAGTTCAGGTTTTTCCAGAGATAAATTTGGGTCTAATATTTCTCATATATTAATTTCCACAGACATAGAACTTGTGGGTGGCTGATGGTGATGCACATATTTCTTATCTATAGCTATATAAATTATTCTTGTTCATAGAGATACAAATGAATATAAATCTCTTCTAGTCCTAATTCTCATTTGAACTGGTTTTAACATCTTACTAGCTCTATCATTACTGAATGAAGTAAAATCTTTGACACATTTCTTTTCCATATATATGAGACAGTTTTACTTTAAAAAAATTATCCTTGAACACTAGAATACTCATTTCTTTGTATTGTTTTTATCTCTAGAACAGTGCCAAGCAGAGTGTTTTTTAAATTAATTTTTTATTTTTGAGTTGGAGTCTCACTCTGTTGCCAGGCTACAGTGCAGTGGCATGCTCATGGCCACCACAGACTCGACCTGCTGGGCTTAGGCGATCCTTCCACCTCAGCCTTCCTTATTATTATTATTTTTTAAATAAATGCTTACTGAATGAAGAACTGCAGAGTGCAAAACAGCCTAGCCAAAGACAACAGATGTAAATAAAATCAGATAACCCTGAAAGGTTCCCTGGATGATACCTAGCATAATAGAAAATGTACCCAGCAATCTATTTGCCCACTTCAAAGTCTTTCATAATTTCTCCTGAAATAAAAATGGTGCAAAGAAATTCTAAGGATGAGAGTAAAGAGAACATTGTCAGTCTGAATGTCATATCAGGAAAGGCTTTATGGGGAGTTAATATTGATTTTGGACTGAAAAGAATAAATAGCAAATGCAGTGAGCAAAGGCGTAAGAGCACAGAAAAGCACAACACATTAAAAAAAGGGAAACGATGTCATCTGATTGGACTCAGGTATGTGAAGTAGACTAAATAAGGAAGAGATTGAGAAGGTAACATAGAGGTTTATTCTGAGTCTGAATCTAATCTGGGTCTGGTCATCATTCAGAGGTGATTGGAGCCATTAATGGTTTTTGAGCTGGAAAAGAGTTTATGTGAATTTCACATTAATAATAATCTTATTATTTACATTAATAAGATTAACTTGGCAGCTATGTAGGGTAGACTGGAGAAGACAGAAGTACACAGCAGCCAGGCAGCTCGAAATATGAAACTGGAGCTCAAAAACATGTTGAGGATAGAGATACACAATAGTGGTATTTGAAATGAGAGAGTAATTTTGAATGAAAATGTTTTAGGTTACAGTGGTTAATGTTCTCTTACCTGTTTCTCCTCCCTTCTACCTCCCCTAAGACTGTGATGTCTTCAGTGTGGGAACTGTGTTATTCCTGCCTGTTTTCTCAGTGATGGACATGGGACCTGACACATAAGCTCAATAGATATTTGCTGAAGAAAAAAGAATATGCAGAGAAAGGAGAAAGCATTTTTCTCAGAGAGGTGGTAAGGGGAAAACGGATGACAACAGACATAATGGAGACAGAACTGACGAACTTTGTATTGGATGACTTTTAATCTTTTGAGGAAAGCATCTGATAAGCTACAGAGCATCACATGATTGAGGATGAGGCTAAGGCTTAAGTAGAGTGAAAACAATTTGGAACAGCTGCAGCCAGAAATGTGCTTAGGAGACTCCCATATGCTTGCATGCTTTTTTTAGTGCCCTTCTATGTAACTGGAATGCTTTCTCCAGCCCTACTCTTCCTGCATCTCCTCTTAGTCTACTCAACTTTCAAAGCTTTCTGGGATACTCTTTCTGATACTATTTCAAGTAACATTCTTTTTTCTATGTTTACACTTCTTTCTCTGTTAATGCCACTTGATTAGAAATTACCTGGAGAGTTTCACTCATCTGAGTATCTTCATCCAGATCCGATGAGAAGCAGGCATCCACAAATGTTTGCTTATGTTTAAATCAAATAAGTTTAAGAATATCATTGCCGAGTGGCAGGAGAAACAAAGTTAAAGTCATATGGCTTTGAAGTCTTGGTTTCTATGACTGGAGTGAGGTGATGGACTATGAGAATCCAGGGAAAGATTAAAGAACTAGAGGTTGTGATGCAGGCAGATGAAAATTCAGTAAAAATCAACATTTACTTTTTCTGTTGGGAAAATCTATTAGTTTCCATAGCCAGGAAAACAGAATGAAACTTATGTGCATTTTGTGGCAGGAAAGAACAGAATTTTTTCCATCTAAATTCCTCTTACTACTCCACACTAAAGCCAAAACCAAACAATGAAGCCTTCAGTATCAGATCTGATTTTTTTTTTTTTTTTTTTTTTTAGTTGGAGTTTCATTCTATCACCCAGGCTGGAGGGCAGTGGCCTGCTCCTGGCCACCACAGCCTTGACCTGCTGGGCTCAGGCAGTCCTTCTGCCTCAGCCTTCCAAGTAGCTAGAACTACATGCACACACCACCATGCCTGGCTAATTTTTTTGATTTATTATAGAGATGAGGTCTCACAAGTTGCCCAGTCTGGTCTTGAACCTGTGGGTGCAGGCAGTCCTTTCACCTTGGCCTCCCAAAGTGCTGGGATTATAGGCATGAGCCACCGCACCCAGTTCATTATCTGAATTTTTTTTTTTTGAGTTGGAGTCTCACTCTGTCGCCCAGACTGGAGTGCAGTGGCACGCTCCCGGGCACCGCAACCTCGACCTGCTGGCAATCCTTCTGCCTCACCCTTCCAAGTAGCTGGAACTACAGGCACGCACTACCACACCCGGCTAATTTTTTGATTTATTGTAGAGATGAGGTCTCTCCAAGTTGCCCAGGTGGGTCTCGAACCCGTAGGCTCAGGCAATCCACCCACCTCAGTCTCCCAAAGCACGAGATTACAGGCTGAGCCACCAAGCCCGGCCATATTGGAATTTTAACCACTAACTTCTACTATATCATAACGTCTTCAGTCCTTTCATAAAGACTCTCAACAAAACAGATTTTTCAGTTTCACTTTTACTCCATTTCCAGACATTCTGGAAGAACAATTAAGAGCAGTTAAATGAATACACATGGGGAAAGAGGTTAACAATATATACGAACAATAGCCTTAGAAGACCTATATTCAAATCTCGTTCTGCCACTTGTCTGTAAAATGGGAGTTACTTGGAAAAATTGTGGTGAAAAATAAGCTAGAGAGCACATAAAAGTTGTATGGTATACTTTGAACAGATCCCATGCAGAAAATGCAAAAGACAGAAAAGGGAATCATCCTCTATTCTCTCAATTTTCCTTAGTCAACTACTGATACCACGTATTGTGTACCCTTGCAGAAATATTCTAGGTTTAATGTATGTATAGATGTACTCTTGTACAATTTCCTCCTTTCCTTAACTTAGCTGTGTGACCTTCAGTATGTAACTCAAATGTAAAGTTTCTTATCTATAATATGGAGTAGTTCTGAGCACTTAATGAAATAATTAAATGGGCACAAATATGAGGGGTTTTTTATTTTTGTTTTTTTGAGAAAGCAGGATTTATTGAGAGGACAGAAAAGCTCCCACAGTGGGAGGGGACCCAAGGGGTTGCCCAATGCTACAAAAATATGAGGTGTTATCCTTGGAAGGAGAAGGAAGGCCTAGGCAAATGTTTATTGTACTTGCAACTTTTACATAGAACTGAGATTTCTTGAGCCTTAGAATCAGCCCGACTTGACTACTTTGTGCCATTAGGAGTAGTCCTTTTCCTCATCTTGACACCAGCAGGAGAAGAAGGCTGAGAGCCACACTATGTGACCTGACCTTGGTCTATCCCACAGGTGATCACTTACTCCAGTCATCACGTCTACAATAACTTGACTGAGGAACAGAAGGGCCGAGTGGCCTTTGCTTCCAATTTCCTGGCAGGAGATGCCTCCCTGCAGATTGAACCTCTGAAGCCCAGTGATGAGGGCCGGTACACCTGCAAGGTGAAGAATTCAGGGCGCTATGTGTGGAGCTATGTCATCTTAAAAGTCTTAGGTAAGGCAGGGTGCCAAGGTAAACACATACATCCTATTCATAAGGTCTCTGGGAGGGATAGTCAGATGCACCATGGGTTACAAAACTTTTGTTCAGTGCTTTGTATTATACATTCAAAGATCACCTAGTTCAGTTCCCTAAGAAATATTTCCTGAATTTTAGCTGTAATGAAAAAAGAAAATATAATCACAATTTTCCATGAGAGCTGATTACAAAACTTAGATATCCATAAATATCTGAATGGTATCCTTCTATTTTAAATCTCTCAGATGACTCAAGTTCAATTCTGTTTTTGACAGCAAGAGCTACTAAATTCTACTTAATTGCTTCCAAATTAATGAACTTGTATTCCTGTTTCAGTATCAGTAAAATCACCCTCAACTTTCCTAAAATTTCCAATAAATAACTGTATTTTCTTTGAGAAGTGATGAGGGAGTTTCTGAGGTGGCCTTGAAAATTACAACAGCAAAGCCGGGCTCAGTGGCTCAGCCTGTAATCCCACGCTTTGGGAGGCTGAGTGGATTGTCTGAGCCGGCGGGTTCGAGACCCGCCTGGCCAACTTGGCGAGACCTCATCTCTACAATAAATCAAAAAATTAGCCAGGCGTGGTAGTGCATGCCTGTAGTTCCAGCTACTTGGAAAGCTGAGTGGAAGGATCGCCAGAGCCCAGCAGGTCAAGGCTGTGGTGGCCGGGAGCGTGCCACTGCACTCCATTCTGGGCGACAAAGTGAGACTCCAACTCAAAAAAAAGAAAAGAAAAGAAAAAGAAAATTACAACAGCATCACTGGTAGCAACTGGAATTGGGGGCATGTGTGCTAAGGGGATGGAACTGGGTGTTCTTCTGGGAGTAATGTAAAGCATGGTGAGTTGAATCCCCAACTCAAGTTAACCATAAAGAATGGCTGAAGAAACAACTCAACAAGACCTAGTTTTCCATTGAATCTGAAGTTTAGGGATCTTTATATCATTACACTTTTTTGGGGGGCCAGTGAGACCATCCAAGCCCAAGTGTGAGTTGGAAGGAGAGCTGACAGAAGGAAGTGACCTGACTTTGCAGTGTGAGTCATCCTCTGGCACAAAGCCCATTGTGTACTACTGGCAGCGAATCCGAGAGAAGGAAGGAGAGGATGAACATCTGCCTCCCAAATCTAGGATTGGTAAGTCATCTTCCTACTGGTCTACTGAGTCCAGATAGCACTCTATCCATGAATTTTAAATTGACTTTGTCAACAACTCACTATGTGACCTTGAATACCCTGCTGAACCTCTTGAACTCCATTTTTTAAATCCATAAACTAGGACAGAAAATCCATCTTTTATTTCCTCAAAGGGCATGTATAAGTGGTAAAAGGTTATAGAAATGTACTAATAAATCCACTATATCTAAATATCCTTAGTATCCTTTAAATGTTCACAATATTTGTAACTTTTGAGGATGTGCTACAACTTAAAAGAATGTTTACCTCCCTTCTCATGTTCCAAAAAGGGATCTTTTCTTTCATGTCATCCATATTAAATTGTATTATAGAATCTTGGGTCAATGATTAAATAAATAAATATAGATGCTTCCACTAAGGGGATTTACAGTCATTGTTCCGCTTGTGCAGACTACAACAACCCTGGACGAGTTCTGCTGCAGAATCTCACCATGTCATCCTCGGGACTCTACCAGTGCACAGCAGGCAATGAAGCTGGGAAAGAACGTTGTGTGGTGCGAGTAACTGTACAGTGTAAGCATTCAGAGAGGTTGTTTTGCATTGTAGCTCAATTTTAATCATGAGTAAGAATAAGGTCAAGGTCAAAGTCTTATTTCCAGAAGGATATGGCTATCACCAAAATAAATTAAGTTTGCTAGGCCCATTCAACAATTGTATCTGACTCTATATTTACAAATATGTGTGAATTAACAGCCCCCAAATAAATTTATCAGGCCTAGGAGGTGACTGAATGAACACCAGTCTTAAAAACAAAAACAGGCCTGGTGCGGAGGCTCACGCCTATAATCCTAGCACTTTGGGAGGCTGAGGTGAGAGAATTGCCTAAGCCCACAGGTTTGAGACCAGCAACTTGTCAAGACCTCATCTTTACAATAAATAAGTAAAAAATTAGCCAGGCATGGTGGCACATGCCTATAGTTCCAGCTACTTGGAAGGTTGAGGCTGTGGTGGCCTGGGCAACAGCATGAGGCTCTGACAAAAAAAAAACACACATAAAAAGTTATTCAGTCCAATAAATTGTATGCCAGGCTCATAATCTAGAAATTGAGTCTTGAAAAAGGACAGGATAAACCAAGTGAAAAGACAAAAACAAACTGTGTGTCTATTACCTACTTCTGTGTAACAAACGACCCCAAACCGTCACGGCTTAACATGGTCATTATTATCTCGTTTCTGTGGGCCAAAAATTCAGGGGTGACTTAGCTGGAAGGTCTGGCTCTGTGTCTCTCCTCAGAAGGGTGAGCAAGATGTCTACTACAGCTGCAGCCATCACAAGGTTGACTGGTGCTGGAGGATCTGCCTCTAAGATAGTTCATTCACATGGCTGTTGGCTTCAGCTCCTTACCACATGGGCCTCTACATAAGGCTCTTAACAGAGCAGCTGGCTCCCATAGGGAATGATCTAATAGAGGAAGGATCGAAGAGTGATCTAAGATTTAAGATCTAAGACAGAGTGCAGCAAAGCTTTTATGGCGAAACCTCAAATGTGACATACCATCACTTCTGTTATATTCTATTTATTAGAAGTGAGTCAGGCTGGGCATGGTGGCTCATGCCTATAATCCCAGCACTTTGGGAGGCTGAGGTGGAAGAACTGCTTGAGCTCAGGAGTTTGAGACCAGCCTAGCCAATATAGCGAGACCTATATAGAAAACCTCTACAAAAATAAAAATAAAAAAATTAGGCATGGTGGTATATGCCTGTGATCCCAGCTACTCAGGAGGCTGAGGCAAAAGGATCACCTGAGTTCAGGAAGTTGCGGCTGCGATGAGCTGTGACTGTGCCACTACACTCCAGTCCAGGTGACAAGTGAGACCCTGACTCAAAAAGAAAAGAAAAAGTTAGTAACTAAGTCCAGACTATGCTCAAAGGGAGGAGAATGAAGCTGTACCTTTAGAAGGGAGAAGCAGCAGATAATTATGTGGACATGTTTTTAAAACCACCAGTGTAAAGTCTAATAACCAAAGTATATAAATACACAATAAAGAACTCATTCAAATTAGTGAGAAAATAGCTTACCCAAAATGGGCACAGAATGTTGAAGTGTAATTTTCAAAAAGGTAAAATCTTTTTTATTTCTGACAAATTAAAGATTATATTTAATTCATTACTTAATGATGGAGCTAGTAAGATGATAAAAGTGGACCAAAGAGCATTTGAGAAATTAGGTATATAGAGACAATTTAACAAAGATGTTAAGACTGCTGGGTTAAACATCAAACTGGTTAATGTCCTACAATTTCTGTGGTCATGTTTAACTGGAGCAGCAATTATTTCCATCTCTACTGGACAAAGGTCTACAAGTTTCCCCTACAGAGATGTGAATTGCCAAGCACTGTACTTCTTTTACCTATTTTCAAGTTTCAGATAATTATTTTTACAAAAATGCAACATGCAGTTCACAGAAAAAAATAAACGGTCACTAAACATAAATAAGGCGGGGGCACTCTATCCTGTCCCCTCAACCTCCTAGATTTTCTTCCCTCACCAGGTTAAGAAATCATCCTTTTTATTTTAAATTATCAGATTAGTAGTAAATATAAAAACTGTAGAGCCAGTATTAGAAAGGCTATGGAGAAACATGTGCTTTTATATTTTTTACTTAAGTATAAATAGGTAGCACAGTTTAGCTTAATCTGTAAATTTCTGGGGGGGGCAAATATATTGAGGTAACATACACACAAAGAAGGATAAGTGTACAGCTTGATAGATCTTCAAAAATATATCCGTGTAAACCACATCGTGATTAAGAACCTGTCACTTACCTCTCACCACCTCTTCATTATCAAGATTTCTAACTTTATGGATTACTTTTCCTGTCTTAAAACCTTAAATAAATGGAATCATTCCATTTGTGTCTGGTTTCTTTCATTCTACATTGTTTTTGAGATTCATCATTGTTGTTGCTTGTAGCTACTGTATGCTTATCTTGTTACAGTATTTTGTTGTATGACCATACCACAACTAGTAATCCATTTTACTTCAGTTGCAAAAGTATATTCCATTTTATCCAGCAATACTTCTGAAAATTTATCCTTTAGAGAGACATTCTATAAATGTGCAAATACATATGGAAAATAACATATTCTTTTCTTTTCTTTTTTTTTTGAGTTGGAGTCTCACTCTGTCTCCCAGGCTGGAGTGCAGTGGCCACTGCAGCCTTGACCTGCTGGGCTCAGCAATTCTTCCATCTCAGCCTTCTAAGTAGTTGGAACTACAGGTGTGTGCACGCCTGGCTAATTTTTCTTGATTTATTGTAGAGACGAAGTCTCGCCAAGTTGCCCAGGCTTGTCTCGAACCCCTGGGCTCAGGCAATCCTCTCACCTCCCCCTCCCAAAGTACTGGGATTACAGGCATGAGCCACTACCATATCTGGCCATATTATTTTCAACTGTGAAAAACCGAAAGCAACCTAAATTTGTATTAATAGATAATCTATCTAGATTATGTATATGTTAGAGATGGGGCAGTGAGGAAAACAGCATTCTCTAATTGAAATTAGTCAGGTAAAATAAACTCCAGTGCTTTGAGACCTTAAATAAATGTATCCACAGGCCTATTTATTTATTTATTTCTGTTGTCTAGACTGGAGTGCAGTGATGCAATCACAGACCACCAGCCCTGAACTCCAGGGTTCAAGCATTTCTCCAGTCTCAGCCTCCCAAGTAGCTAGGACTCCAGGCATACCATGACAGCTGGCTAAAATTTTAAAAATATGTTTTTTTGTAGAGATGGGGTCTTACTATGTTGCCCAGCCTGGTCTTGAACTACTGGCTTCAAGTAATCCTCCCACTTCGGCCTCCCAAAGTGCTGGGATTATAAGCGTGAGCTGCTGTGTCTGGCCAAAAGTACAATTTCTTTTAAAAAAATGAAATATTAAGAGATCATTTAGCTTTTATAAAAATAATAGGACAAGAATAAACAGTAAGTCCTCTTGACTGTACTTCCAAAATATAGGCAATATCCATCTGTCTATGAAAATTACTCTCACCTTAGCCTAATCCATCATCATCTATAGCCTGTACTATATAAGCCTCCTAACTGGTATCCCTGTTTGCTTTCCTACCTTTCTACAATCCATTTTCTCTAGAGCAGCCACGGTGTACTTTCTCAAATATAATTTGTATCATGCTACTCTTCCATTGCTCTTACAAATAAAATCCTTGCCATGTCCTATAAGGCTCTGTGTGAGCTGGTCTTTTCCTGTCTCTGTGACCTCATCTCTCTGCACTCTCCTTTGCTCAATATGCTCCAGACCCACTCACATTCATCATATTTGCTATTCCTTCTGCCTAAAATGCACTTCTAGATCAGCACAAGATAGTCTTTAATATCATTTATATCTGAACTCAAATGTCACATTCTCAAAGTTCTAATCACCCAAACTTAAGTAGTATCTCTCCATTCCCCCTCATTCACTCATTCACTTTTGCCTTCATAGAATCTATTATCTGAAATTATCTTTATTTACTTGTTTATTATGTTTTTCCCCTTCTGGAATATAAACTCAACAAAAGCAGAAACACTGTCTGTCTTCACTAGTGCTTAGAACTGTGTCTGGCTCGGGGTAGGGACTTAATAAATAATCTGATGTATAAATGAAAGAGTGTAAGTTGCTAATGTACAAGTCACATTTACCTTGACTTCTGAATTTCTAGGATCCATGGATAAATTCCACAGAGTCTAACACAGAGTCTAGACACAGAGTCTAATTGTAGGCTACATTCCTTTTTAAAAACAACTTTTATTACATTCAGGTTTTTTTTTTTTTTTTAACATTCCTTTTTATTTTACTGGTGAGAGAAGGGAGAAGTTAGAGAAAGCAGGGAAGTTGGCAAAGCCAGAGGACTGCCTAAATGTTATCCTATCCAGGCCAACAAATCTTCCATGATATAGTAACTTTCAGCTCTTATTTACCATCTAACCAACCCAGACTTATTCACTAAAATCTGGGCCAACTGCTGGTAAAATCTGTGATTCAGTAACTACAATTGCTAAAATATCAAGAGGGACAATCATACAATAAGAAAGGGTGATGGGTTACTACTCAAGCAGATCGATATAGGCCGGGTGCAGTGGCTCATGCCTGTAATCTCAGCACTTTGGGAGGCAGAGGCAAGAGGATTGCAACTTGGCAAGACCTTGTCTCTATAATAATAACAAAAAAAATTTAGCCAGGCATGATGGAGCATGCCTATGGTTCCAGCCACTGCTTGGCTGAGGTGAAAGGATCACCTGAGCCCAGCAGGTCAAGGCTGCAGTGGCCGTGAGTGTGCCACTGCACTCCAGCCTTGGTGACAGAGTGAGACTCCAACTCAAAAAAAAAAAAAAAAAAAAAAGATAGATATAAAGACCTAGAAATACTTATCATGTCCAGAATTATGTTTTTGAGATCATGTATTTCCTAGCTTATGCTTTGTTTTATTTTGCTTTTGCTTCTGAGAAAATAGATGTACCAAGCATCGGCATGGTTGCAGGAGCAGTGACAGGCATAGTGGCTGGAGCCCTGCTGATATTCCTCTTGGTGTGGCTGCTAATCCGAAGGAAAGACAAAGAGAGATATGAGGAAGAAGAGAGACCTAATGAAATTCGGTAAACCTCTCTAAATCCCCACTTCTACTGGCCTTCCTTTCTAGGGCCAGCACTACAGTCACCATAAATGTCCTGTTTCCTCTTAACCATAAATCTGTGAAAATGATTATTAGTCTGGTACGTAGTTCAGCCTAGGGACAGAAGGTCTGGCTTACCTGGGCTTTATTATGAAACTATCCTCAACAGAGACTTCTAAGTTCAACTGTACATTACTTCTGATTCACTTCCACTCATAAAGGGCATATAATAATGACCAAGTATAGCCTATAGACTATGAGAGGGTTTATGCAGACAAACCCTAAATGAGGAGGAGTGCTGTCTAGGTCATCTCAGTGGTGAGATCCTATTTCTCCAATGTAATAGGGCTGACCTCTGGATTAACATAACATACATTTGCCTAAGCCAAGCATTAAGTCTTAAGAAATGAGGAAGAGCCTATTTCTCTAAATGGCTGCATTCCAACACTATTATTTCAGGTTTACAGTTTGAGAAATGTATTAGGAAACCTCAGAAGGAAGCAACCATAGTGGAAGCTATCACAGTCCTGCCAGTATTAAAGTTTATCTTTGCTGTTTTTTCTCTTCAGAGAAGATGCTGAAGCTCCGAAAGCCCGCCTTGTGAAACCTAGCTCCTCTTCCTCAGGCTCTCGGAGCTCACGCTCTGGTTCTTCCTCCACTCGCTCCACAGCAAATAGTGCCTCACGCAGCCAGCGGACACTGTCGACTGAAGCAGCAACCCAGCCAGGGCTGGCCACACAGGCATACAGCCTAGTAGGGCCTTAGTTGAGAGGTTCTGAACCAAAGAAAGCCCACCATACCACCCTGACCAAAGCAAAGCCACATCCAGCATGATCCCCAGCCAGAACAGAGCCTTCCAAACTGTGCGAATTAGAATGGACTCAACTCCTATGCTTTTCTAGAAGACAGGGTCTTAGGACTCTTCTAGTCATTGGAGCTCAGTCACCAGCCACACAACCCTCTGGAACAAGATAAGAGGTCATTTAAGTAGCAGTGAGCATTGTACAGAACAGATCCAGATAAACTCTTTCCTTGTATGATACTAAACAAGCAAAAAGATATCAAAATCATCTCCAAAAAGGCATCTCACTGTGCCTTTAGACCAAAGTAGGGGAAAGCAGGGGTCCAAATCTGTCTATTCATTGACCAGGACCTGTGGTGAGAAGATTGGTAGAAGGTGAGGTGAACACACCTAAAACTTCTCACCTGGGATATTTTCTATCAATGCTTCAATTCACCATTGTCGAGAAGAAATTAGATGTTGTTTGTAAATTTTCTATGCATTTCTGCAAACCTATTGGATTATTGTGATTATTCAGATAGTCAAGCAGAACCCACAGCCTTATATTACACCGATTTGCACCATGTACTGAGCTAACCACTTCTAAAAAAAACTCCAAGAAAGGAAACGTCTTTTCTATTCTGACTTGACTTAATTTGTCAGAAGGTTTGGATATTAACTTCAAAATGAGTTGAAATAGTGGGATATGGAGAAGAGTGAACAAATTTTTCCCATTCTATACTAATCTTCCTACTTATATTGAACTTTAAAACAAGAACTAAAAAAGGAGATCAAAATGCGTGACAAAGGACAATGAAAAAAGCCTTCCATCTTGATGTTCAGAGGATTGCTGACAGATATCAGAAATATATACTGGAGGAATTGTGGATTTTCCCCCAAATCAGATGCCACTAAGGACTTTCCTACTGGATATCTCTGGAAGAAGAAAATACTATATTATTACACAATATCCTTAGAAAGAATTCTGCTAGAGAAAAAGATATCTAGGAATGCTGAAAATCACCCAACATACCATTATAGTCTCTTCTTTCTGAGAACATGTAAAATCAGAATTTTAAGACTGGCTGGACCCGAAAGGGAGATTAGATCAGTTTTCTCTTACTCTGTCAAGGAAGGCCATAAGGAACTTAGCATTGTACCACATTTGGAGCTTCTTCCATTTCTACCATTTTAGAAAGATGTGAACCTGGGACTTTGATGATTCTATGCCTTAAATTATCAGAAAGATTAGGGATTGCCAATGGTTCATAATGGCACTGCAAGTAGATGCCATAATCATTCTCATCTAAGAGGCTAAAACAGAGAAATTCAGTATTTTCCCAGCCTTTGCCTCCAAGGAAGTCTAGCTTTGGGTGGAAGGAAAGGGAACTAACATTTAGGGAAGAGATGAGAATAACTAGTGGGTGGCAGGAGAAGGCTGACCCTGTTAACATTTTGGTTGCCAGCATCTTGGAAAGAATTGGCAGAAAGATTCCCCAGGATAGCTATTGAAGAGATAATGAATGGGAGAAGGTGTCTGGGAAATAAAAAGAAAACAGCTTCCAATACAATAATTTGCCTTTTAAATAGTTTTGATTACTATGATACCTACAGCACAGATGCTGAACCTGAAATAGCCCTTTAAGGACCCTAGTGCAAATGTCAACTGATCACTGTTGGTAGAGCAGAATACTACTTATCATTTAAAAGAGCAACAGCTTAGAGCAAAGAAAAAGTAATGCTGAATATGGCGGTGAAAGCATGTTTCCAAAATGGGAATCAGATGCTGAAAGAAAAAAGGCTGATTTTGGATTTCACCTGATTTCTCTGGTTTTTCATTCCTATATTTGTCACAATGGTGTCCACACATAATACAAAAAAACTAATACAAAAAACCAAAAACTTCCTTCTACAGATCCTAGGAGTTTATCCTTGGGTGAATTTTTCACCTGAGTTTTATCTTTCTTTAAAAAGAGGTGGAAAATAAGAGACATTGAAGAAGTAACATAAAGACTATCTGCTAGTAGTTTAAGAGTACTGGCATATTTGGAATGCTTCTTAATCTAACACTGTCTCACCGTAAGATATAAAACCCCTTACTTGGCTTACATTTTTTTTCTTCTAGAGTGTGGGTATCCAGGCAACATTTCACTTCTGCTCCGTAATTCTGAGAATTCTCATTCCTAGAGTATCTGAGCCAAACAAATACACTATGATACAGCTGTATCATCACTAGCAATTTGCTCTTATCATTAATTACCAACTTTGAACCTAAGGTTTTCTACCTATGCCTTTGAAAGCAGGAATCAATCCCCTTTGCATGAAAAAGAGGTTTGAATTATTTAAACATGTTAGTTATCAAAGACTACAATACTAGTTGAATATTCCAATTATTTTGGAAATCTTCACAAGGGAAATCTGTAACAAATACACAGAACAGACTACACTGCTGAGAAATTATAAGTAATTGAAGATTCTGAGAGAGAAGGTGTTGAAGTTAACAATGACGGTACACTTCTCTTTGACAGGTTCTGGGCTTTAGTTTGAGCTACTACCAGTTCCAGACAATATCACATTGACTTTGCAAGCCAAATAAATTTGATTCTTAAATAGAAAATAAAAAGGATAAAATAAATGATAGAAGAAAAAAATGTAAAAAGAAGATGAAGCCAGGTGCTCACACCTGTAATCCCAGCACTTTGGAAGCCCAGGGGTTCGAGATCAGTCTGGGCAACTTGGCAAGACTGCACCTCTACAATAAATTTAAAAAATAGTCAGGTATGGTGGCTCATGCCTGTAGTTCCATCTGCTTGAAAGGCTGAGGTGAAAGGATCACCTGAGCCCTGAAGGTCGAGGTTGTGAGTGCATGACACTGCACTCCAGCCTGGGCAACAGAGTGAGAGTTCAACTCAAAAAAAAAAAAAAAGAAGATGAAGATGGAATGATGTGGATGTTTAGAGTGTAATCATTTCAATAAAATATATAAACCAAACTTTAATTTGTAAGATAAGGAAATTGATGCCTTTGTTGTTATACTGTATAAAATATCAGAATTGCTGTTGCAAAAAGACATATATAATTTTGCTTCATTCTGGTGTTAAGCTGCTTATATGTCAATTTTAACTTCTAAGTTGCCTTGTAATTGGGATTGTGTTTGTGCATCACAAAAACCAAATATTTATTATAGATGCATCTGTATCAGCAATTAAACAATAAATAAGTAAGGGTGATACTGCAGGAAAGGCTGAAGCTCATATAACCTGCACTGGAAATTCGCTTATCATCTTGCTGCCAACAGAAGAACAAAAGAACTAAGACTGACTATGATCTATTATTTATTGATTTCAGTCACAAATATACCAAGTGCTTTTTTACCTCACAAGGCAAGATGCTAAGTATAAGTTATACAAGAAACACCAAGAAATGATAGAGTTGCTGTCCTTTAGTACTTCATCAAAATTAACAAGTAATTACTTGCTTAGTAATACTTGCTTAGTAATACTTGTAATACTTAGTGAAATGTCAACAGAGAAGAAGGGCACAGTAAGGGCTTCAAAAAAATCTGAGTACACACTAAGACAGTAAAAGAAATCTGGAAAAAAAATTTAAGAGGTCCATGGTAAAATAACACTAGGCTGGGTGCAGTGGTTCACACCTATTGTCCCAGCACTTTGGAGGATGGAGGTGAGAGGATTACCTGAGCCCACGGGTTCGAGACCAGCCTGGGCAACTTGGTGAGACTTCATCTCTATAATAGATCAATAAAAAATTTAGCCAGGCATGGTGGTGTGTGCCTGTAGTTCCAGTTACTTGGAAGGCGGAGGCGGAAGGATCACCTGAGTCCAGCAGGTCAAGGCTGTGGTGGCCATGAGTGTGCCAATGCACTCCAGCCTGGGCGACAGAATGAAACTCCAACTCAAAAAAATAATAAGACTGGGTGCGGTGGCTCAAGCCTACAATCCCAGCACTTTGGGAAGCTGGGGTGAGAGAATTGCCTGAGCTCATGGGTTCGAGACTAGACTGAGCAATATGGTGAGACCTCGTCTCTATAATAAATCACAAAAAAATTAGTCAGGCTTGGTAGCGTGCGCCTGTAAAGTTCCAGCTACTTGGAGGGCTGAGGTGGAAGGATCTCCTGAGCCCAGCAGGTAGAGACTGCAGTGGCTGGAAGTGTGCCAATGCACTCCAGCCTGGGCAACAGAGTGAGACCCTAACTCAAAAAATAATAATAATAATAACAGCAATAGCAGTAATGATCACTTACTGACCTATTATCATGTGCCAGGCGCATTTAAACACATGATACATTTTGCCTCAGTTTCATACTTACACCATTCCTATAAAGAGATATTTGTATTCTCATGTTTTAAAACTAAGTCTCATAAAAGTTTAAGTCAGTTAGCTGGGCGTGGTAGTGTGTGCCTGTAGTTCCAGCTACTCGGAAGGCTGAGGCAGAAGGATTGCCAGAGCCCAGCAGGTCGAGGC